GCCTCAGCACGCGTCCCATCCCAGCACACATCCCATCCCAGCACACATCCCATCCCTGCGCAAATCCCATCCCCACGCGCATCCCGTCCTCACACACATCCCATCCACTGAGCACATGCTGTCCCCACACACATCCCATCCCCATGCTCATCCCATCCACTGAGCACGGATGGGCCACGCACATTCCAACACGTGCCGTCCCCGCGCACATCCCTTTCCCGCACGCATCCACCACACACGTCCCTGTGCAAATCCCACCCCCGTGCACCTCCCCACACACATCCCGTCTCCATACACATTCCCATGCATATCCCCGCACACATCCCATGCCTGCAAACATCCACCGCACACATCCCTGTGCAAATCCCATCCCCGCACACATCCCATCCCCGTGCACATCCCATCCCTGCACGCATTCCCACACACATCCCATCCCCATACACATCGCATCCCTGAACACATTCCCGTGCACATTCCCGTGCACATCCCCACGCACATCTCATCCCCATGCACATCCCCGCACACATCCCATCCCCATGCACATCCCCGCACACATCCCAGCCCCGTGCACATCCCATCCCCACCCACATTCCCGTGCACATCCCCACACACATCCCATCCCCATGCACATCCCCACACACATCGCATCCCTGCACACATTCCCGCGCACATTCCCATGCACATTCCCACACACATCCCATCCCATCCCATCCGACACGGGATGTGTGTGATCCGACGGGCGCTGCGGCGGGGCCGGGGGGGGAGGCAGAGATCACAGCACGGCCCTGGCTTGTTTGTACTTGTTCCTTTTATTTACTGAGTAACACAATAAAGCGATGAGATTTGATTATCAAAATATTTTCCTTTTTCCCAACAGTTATAGTACATCAAAAAATATACAGTGAACATTACAGGAGGGGTACTGGCCACGTCCCTAGACTCTGCTTGTTTCGTTTTTGGAGGGGGTGGGTCTGGATTTATTTATTGTTTTGGAATCAAACTCAGTTCACGTCACTCCGAGGTTATTTACAGGGGTCACACGTCACCGAGCACTATGGACTATGCCCTACTACCTAGTACAGCGGACGCTAAGTCAGAGGCAGTCGATGCTTTGGACGGCACGGGAGCGGGGGGAGGCGCCGGGGGCTGAGTTCTGACGCAGCTCGTTGCAGTTGTTGTTGTCGGAAGGAATGGCTTTCACGGGATAAAGTGCCAAGTGTGGGAGCGCGTTAGGACCCCACGGGGACGGTGTGGGGGCGAGGGGACGGGAGCAGCCGCTGCTGCTGCCTCCAGCAAAGGCTTTTTTGGGGCAAAATGCAGGGGAGCGACCCCCGCCGCAGG